CGCACCCGCTGCCGCCCGTGCCCCTCTTCAGCCGCTTCCTGTGCACGCCGCTGGCGGCCGCCTGCCCGTCGGGGACCGAGCAGGGGGACGCGGCGCCCGGCGAGCGCGAGGAGCTGCTGCTGCTGCAGAGCACGGCCGAGCAGCTGCGCCAGACGGCGCTGCAGCAGGAGGCGCGCATCCGCGCCGACCAGGACACCATCCGCGAGCTCACCCGCAAGCTGGGCCGCTGCGAGAGCGGCCTGCCGCGCGGCCTCCAGGACGCCGGGCCCCGCCGCGACGCCATGGCCGACGGGCCCTGGGACTCGCCCGCGCTCATCCTCGAGCTGGAGGACGCCGTGCGCGCCCTCCGGGACCGCATCGTCCGCATCGAGGTGAGCGCCGCGCGCCGTCGGGGCAGGCTGGGGTGGGAGGGGCCGCTCGAGGGCCTCCCGAGTCCAGCCGCCACCGCCGGGCGGAGGGACCCTGGGGAGGCCCCCGCGAGTCTCTGAACCTCAGGTCTCCCGTCTAGGGAGGATTCAGGTAGGGCACGCGGGCCGGAGTCTGACACTGTGACTGAGGCACAGGGGGCGCGCGGGAAAGGGTCGTTTCTGATCCTTTTGCCTCCAGGCACCTCTGTAAGCCCCAGTTTTTGCGTCTGTAAAATGGGTATAACAGTGTCCACGTGCAGTGAGAATTGATTAAAATGTAGGTATGTGGAAATGCTTGGCACGTACTAGGACCTCATTAAATGTCCGTTTCATTTCCTTCTTCCAGACACCCCCAAAGCAGCACCAGCCCCACACTCACTCCCTATGGTCAGGAGATAGGATGCGCTGTCCAAAGCACTCGGGATCCTCCTCTCCTGGCCGAAGATCGGGGGATACAGTGTCTCATAAGCCAAACCCAGGTGCCTCCCACCCCCGTATCCCCCACCGGGGCTCAGACCGGGAACCGAAGGCAGGAGCTCAGATGGCACTCACCCAGCCACCATATCTGGAATCTGGCAGCTCTGGGATGGGGGCTGAGTGGAGAATAGGGCCCCACCCTGGTTCCTCCTCCTCCACTCACCTTTTCCAGACGTCCTGGCTCAGCCTCGGGGTCCAACACAAGGGGTCCGACAGGGGGAGTCTGCTCTTGTCTGTTGTGTGATACTGGGCCTTTCTCCTTTGAAGTCGCCAGACCCCTACCTCCCTGTGAGAACCTATTTGGGGCCCCCTGGAAGGGGACAGACTAGGCAGGACAGACATCTGTGAGGCACTGACCACCCCCAGAAATCCACGACTCCCAGACTGCAGGGAAGGAGGTTACCAACAAAACTGGATCTGTGGAAGGAGAGGGAGAAAGAGACCAAAGCACGGCTGCCCCCTTTTCTACCTCCCCCCAAACCCAGGGCAGCTGGCAAAGGCAGAGGGAGGAGAGACTGGAAGGAAGGAAATGCAGGGACGCCCCCTCCCGGGGCTCTCTTTATTCAGTCTCTGGCCGGCCGCACAGGCGATGCCTCTGTGGAAGGTTGGCCATGCCCACAGCCCAGCGCCCCTCCAGAAAGTCTGTGCTGGTGTCGGCACCCTCCCTACCCCGCAGGGTGTCAGCGCTGCCAGGCTGCTGTCACAGCCACCCCTCTCACCTTACAGGTGAGAAACCCTGAGACTTCCAGGTGAGGGACAGAGGCAGGAGGAAAGCCTGGGGTCTTGTCTGCCAAGCCAGCACCCCCTTTTCCCACCCCAGCTCTGAGATTTCCAGAATGAGAGAGCTGAGAGCAGGAAAATAACCAGGGGATGCTGAATGTCAACAGTGAAGGGAAGTATCAGTTTCTTCACCCATAAAATGGGGATGATAACAGCACCTACCTCACTGGGGCGTTAGGAGGATTAGGTGAATTAATCTCTGTGAAGGGCCCAGAACCGTATCTGCAGAGGGATGCTCAATCAATTTGAGTGACTGCTATTTTATCATTAAGCTATAATATTACCAGTTTTTAATCTTATTTATTTATTTTTTTGTGAGGAAGATCAGCTCTGAGCTAACATCCATTGCCAATCCTCCTCCCTTTTTTTTTCCCCCCCAAAGCCCCAGTAGATAGTTGTATGTCATAGTTGCACGTCCTTCTAGTTGCTGTATGTGGGACGCCACCTCAGCATGGCCGGAGAAGCAGTGCGTCTGTGCGCGCCCGGGATCCGAACCTGGGCCACCAGCAGCAGAGCACACGCACTTAACCGCTAAGCCGCGGGGCCGGCCCCTATTACTAATTTTTTAAATAGCCAAAAATAAAAACGGGAACAAACACTCCTTTTAGGAAATAGATTTTTATTAATGTAAAAGAAAGAAGATTTTGTTTTTCCGTAAACTTCCTCTTGCCTGCCCTGGCCCTGCCCCCACACCCAGATGGCACCCGAGTTCCTCCCGTGTTGGGGGCTGGCAGCACTGGGCTAGCCCTGGACCTGTTCCCCCAGCACCTGTGCATTTGGCAGAGTAGGCTCCCCTCCAGTTAGCCTGCTGAGGTTGGGGGGATCCTGGTGGCTGGGATTTGGCACCAGATCAGCTTCCCAGGTGGGGGGAGCCGTGGCTTCCCTGCACACACCCCTCCTGATTTCTGAGGGCAGTGGACGTGGAGAGAACAAGGCAGGGGGCTGCCTGCCCATCAGGTCTGCCTTCTGGGCTGGCAGTGGCCAGAGCCAGTCTCTTTGGGGTCTTTGGGACGGGCTGGGGTCTGGAGCCCAACAGACGTGGGGTCAGTCTACTGGTCTCAGCTGGACCCCATGCAGCCTTTAGCCACTATCTAGTTTCTCCCCTCTTCTCATCCAGTATCCTCAAAAGGATGCCCCAGATTCTCAGGGTCTACTTTCTCACCACTCGTCTCTCTCCCACCATGGGAGAGAGCACTGAAAGTGCTCGTGGTGACATCACCAAAGTCGATCAATTGAACGGGAATGTTTCGGTCCTTGTCTTGCTAGACCCCTCTCCAACCTCTGACCCCGCTGATCAGTCTCTCGTACTGATCTCCATGGCCTTGGCTTCTGGACACCTCTCAGCTGCCCCTCCTCCCTCTCTGCTTTTCTGTCCCCTTGTGGGGTCCTCCCCCTTCAACGTTCACGCTCCTCCTGGCTCTCCTCTGTCTTTCCCTGGGTAAACTCAGCCACTCTGAGGCTTTGAACACCCACTTCACTGTGGTGCCCCTGGAGCTTCGTCTCCAGCCCAGCTGACTCTCCCGAGTTCCGGACCAATAGATCCAGCTGCTTCCTGAGCATGTCCTTCTGGATGTCCCACTGCCCCCTACTCTCATCATGTCCCAACCTGAACTCAGGTCCTCCGCCAGGTATGCTGCTTCTCAGGTGTGCTCTGAGAAGCCAGGCTTGGCTCCTCCCCAACCTTGTCCTTCCAGTGGCCTCATCTCTCTGTGGGTGCTTGCAGCAGCCTCCCTGGTGGTCTCCCAGCTCCAGGCACACCCCTCCATCCACCCTTCTCCAGGCAGCCCCAGGGGTCTTCCTTAAACCCACCATGGGGCTCCCCTGTGGTGTGAACTCCTCAGCCTGCTCCCAGGCTGCCATTGCCCATCTGGCCTGTTTCCCAGTTTCTTCTTGCCTCTGCCTAGATTACCCCCAGTGTACCATACTCATCATTTAAGAGTCTGCTGTGAGGACACCTCCTCCCAGAGGCCCTCTCTGATCACACTCTGTCCCTTTCCTACTCCCACCGGTGCTCCCATAATCCTCAGCACATCCCTGCCCATCACCACCTGGCACATCTCTGCATCTCCCCCTCCCCCTCCCCTCAGGCCTCAAGTGTGAGCCACGTTTGAGGGCTTGGGAGAAATTGTCTTCTTTTCTATTTTTTTTATTTTTGTTGTTATTGTTGTTGCCGTTTATTGGAAAAAGTCAAAAGGTATTTTGGGGGAAAAAATTGCATTTAATTCTACCATTTTATCCGTTTTTACCGCCTGCTTTTGGTCCTTTATCAAACGTAAACCTTGTTCCAGAGTTGTGTTGCTGGTAATTACCATCTTCCTGCGGGCCGTAATGTCCTGGGATCCGTCGCCAGCTCCACCATCCATCAGTCTCTTCACCATCTTCTGTTGCTGGAGATATAGGTTGTTTCTAATTATTTTTCTTCTAGATACTCATTGCAGGATCAGTTTCATGCAAGTAGTTGTTTGTTTTTTTCTTTTTAAGTCTGTTGAATTATTTCTTTAGGCTGAATTCCCTGGAGTGGTATTACTGGGTCAGAGGATATTGATTTTTTATGACTGTGGCCAAGAACCACTTTCCAAAAGGGTTGGGCCATTTATGTGGCAACCGGCCATCTCTGTAGGTTCCAGTGTTCCATTTTTGCACTAATTTAATATATGTGTGAAATGAAACTTTAAGACGGATTTAAGCAGAAATTCTTTGACATAAACCACATCCTTAACCCAGCCTGGCAAGCTGGTCACCTCCGTCAGTCTGAGAGTGGGAACCGTGGTAAGGAACACCCTGATGATGGTCACAGGGGACCCTGGACTTAGTAATTATAGCTCACACTTACTGCACTTGCCATATGTCAGCCACTGTGCATTATCTCATTAAATCCTCACAAAGTCTCTCTGAGGGAGGTACTATTCTATCCCCCTTTTATAGATGGAGAAACCAAGGTTCAGAGAGGTTAAGCAACTGGCCCAAGGTCACACAGAAGTGGAGCCAGGATTTGACTCTTCAGTGTCTGGCTCCAGAGCCCTTGTTCTTCATCATTAACTCTAGATCCATCTGGAAGGGTCAGACCTCACCTACCTTCAGGAGAAAGAGAAAGACAGGTGAGGGCAGTGCCTCATGCTGGAGAGTGCCCTGGACCATTCCTGCCTCAGCGCACCGCGGGTGAGAAGGCTCAGGGCCCGTCCTCAAAGGCTTGTCCTGCTGGCTGGCAGGATAATCAGGAGGCTCGCTTGGAAGCTTTGCTGATAGCCATAAATAACAACGACAGGTAACATTTATTAAGCACTTACTGCATACGTATGAGGTTATTCAGTAGGCTGCACACATTCCTATCTTACAGGTGAGGACATGGAGGCTCAGAGAGCTGGAGGGATCAGAGCTGGGGAAATCACCGCCGCCCTCCTTCAGTTTCCCGTCTATAGAATGATATAGTGGGCGAGATGCTCCCTGAACACCTTGCAGCTCAAGTATCTTCTGAAATAGGAAGGCTGGGTGGCACACAGTTGAGTTTTAGCTTGTGACGTTAGGCTAATCACTTTCTCTCTCTGGGCCTCAGTTTTCTTATCTGTAAAATGGGTGGAAGGAGGGGCTGGGTTGGATCTGGCCCCTTTGGGCTCTAAATTCTGAGTTCTTGGGCAGATGCCTCCTGATTAGGAATTGCATGGCGGGTGGGCGGGGGTGTGTGCTACATGTATGCAGGCCCCGAGTCC